AATAGAAAAAAATTGGCACCCTATACCTGTTGCAAATTATTTTTGTTATATAGTTTCTTCAAATATGCATAAAACAAAAATAAGTATAAACTTTTAACAATCACAATTCTCATTAACGATTAAAATAGAAATTTGACACACAACTACAAGAGTAATGAATGTAATCCCAGCTACTGGGGAGGCTGAGGCAGGAATATGGCCAGTTTGAGGCCAGACTCAGTAACTTTGTGAAACCCTGTCTCAAAATAAAAACTTAAAATGGGGATGTTGTTCAGTGGGAAAGCATCACTGGGTTCAATTCCTAGGACAAAAACTAACCCCCCCCCGCAAAAAAAACCAAAACCAATAACAACAAAACTCTACAAAATTATAAATGAAAGCATCAATTTAATATGATGGTCAAGTAGAAACTACATTGCCTTCAAAATGTGAATTTGGTACTGACTGCTACATAGCAGGTTTTTTGATAGTATTCATGTTAGTTTGTGCATATATGGAATAACACAGTTATCCCCCTCCCACTTTCACTATTCAGTGATGACTGGCATATGTACATTGTGCCTGAAATATCCATTTTACTATTTTCTCTCTAGTAGCAACTACTGCAATTTACATAATAGTTTTTTTTGCCGTGCTGGGGATTGACAGAACCTTTAATTACACAATGTGTTTTGCCATCATATGGCCCGACCACAACCCTTACATATTAAGTTTATTTCTGTTTTTTTTTTTTTCTCTCATTAGTTTGAAACAGTTAAAACAGTAACTATTGGGCTGGGGTTGTGGCTCAGCAGTATCACGCTCACCTAGCACGTGCAAGGCCCTAGGTTCGATTCTCAGTTGAAGTAAACAAAATAAAGGCATTGTGTCCAACTACATCTAAAAAATTTTAAAAAATAAATAAAATCCCCCCTCTTCTTCCTGACGGGGAGAGTCACAGCCTTTGGGACAGGAGTCCCCTGTCCCACTGTCCCAAAGGGGACTGTTTCTCCTTAGCTAGCAAAGCAATAAACCTTTTTTAAAAAAAATAGTAACTATTGAGCTGGAGTTGTAGCTCAGTGGTAGAGTGCTTGCTTAGCACATGTGAGGCCCTGAATTCAGTCCTCAGTACCACATAAAAATAATGAAAATAAAGGTATTGTGTCCATCTACAACTAAAACATATTTTTTTAAAGAAATAGTAACTATTATCACGAATAGGCATATGTAATAAATGATATATGTAATATTCTTGTCAAACATCTTTAACTTGAATTTAAACTTGAGGATATAACCAGCAAATCCAGTAAAGAGGACATTCTACAAGACCAATGACCTGAACCTGTAAAGATAGTAAAGAGCCATAAAAATCATATGCAATGCATGAATCTTTGAATTGGGGAAAATATATCTATAAAAGATATTTTGGAGACAACAGGAGAAATCTAAATACGGACTTTTGAAACAACATTATTTAATATTCATTTACTTTGGTGTGGTGATAGTATTGTGCTTACGTAGGAATATTTCTTTATTCTTAGGATATGCATGCTAAAGAATTCAGGGGTGAAATTATTGTGACATGTAAAACTTACTTTAAAACGTTTGGCATAAGCAGTATGTGTATGTGCATAACATGTATTTATTGTGTGTACATGTGTGTATACAAATTATACATGCATAATGTGAGAAAGTTAATTAATCATTGTTGAATGTAGGGAAAGGGTATTTGGATGTTTGTTGTACTACTATTTGAACTTTCCATAGGATTGACAAATTTAAAATGAAAAAGAAAAAAATTTGAAATGAAAAGAAAAAATGTAACTGGCATTCTGAAATCTAGTAGTAATGCTAGATTACAAAGCAGTCATTCAGAGGATCTGGACCAGAACTTCTCAAACTTAAATGCCTATATCAATCTCATGAGAATCTTGTTAAAACTGCAGATTCTGATTCAGTAGATCTGGGTGGGATCTGAGCTTCTGCATTTCTAAAAAGCTCCCAGGTGATGCTGATGCTCCTGGTCTTGGACCAGATTTTGAGCAATAAAGATCAAACATTTTGGCATTATTGTTTCTTAAACAATGTTATCAAAATGAAAATACACAATTTAAAAATTCTTCTATAGACTTGCAGATTCCTAATAATACGAGAATAAGTCCATAAAATCCAATGTGAAGCTAAACCCATAATATTCATTTTATATTAAATAAACTAGACTCTGAAGTCTACAAGGCCAGGGCCCTTTCTACATACCAGTGTATTATCTTGCTCTTAGTAAAGTGCTTGGCACATAGTAGGCACTCAATAAATTTCTGTTGTGTCAGAAAGTCTGTAACTACAGACTCTGGATTCTGAAGATATGGGTTCACGGTAGACACTTCTCACTAATTGGAGGAGCAACCTTGGCCAAATCAATCACTCTTATCCTCAGTTTCTTCATGTAGAAATGGAAATTCTATTATAGGCTTAACAGCATTGCTGGGAAGATTACTTGAGAAAAATAAGATACAGCAAAGTTTTGCCTTACCGATAAAAGTCACTCTCTGGGTCACTGTGCCGGATCTGGAATGGTGCATTGGGATTCTTACAATCTAAAGGTAGGAGATCATCAGGTAGAGGAGGTGACCCAGGGCAGGAGGGAAGAGGTTCACTCTCCTCAGTCTTTACACCTTCCATCTGTTGTTGATTCTGGGCTTGAGCAGCAGCAATAAGGTTGCGAAGACGTCGGTTATGCTGGATCAACTGAATGGTATGGATGGTGAGGCTGCATGGCTCTGAGGGGATGTCTAACATAGTGGGGGGCTTGGGTTTGTTGGCTGAGGGTTGGTGCAGGGGTGGGTCATGTACTTCTACCAGACGGAACTCTCGTGGGAGCAGATCAAAGGAACTTCTGTTGGTCTGGCTTGAGGACATTGGTATCTCTCCCCAGTATCTCAACATTTTTGGAATAAGAAGGGAAGAGCTCTCAGGTTAATGTAGAAGCTATCCTAAAAATAATGTTTAAATCTCTGGCAACTGTAGGTTATAGGCTTCTATAGTGAAAAATATGAAGTCTAGCCAATTATTTACATAAAAAGCAAGTTAAGAACACTTCAAAAAATGTCAGTATTGGCAAAACTGTAGGACCAAAGATGTTCTCCCTGGAGAAATGAAGAGAAATAAAACCATTAGATGTAGACAAAAGACACACAAAAGACAATTCCTACTAGACTGAACCACAAGGTAGAATCTGAGTTATTAGTAAATTAAGAGCTGCAATGGTGTCTGGGACTTAGTAACCATGTTTTCTATTTCATTTCACTAACTCATTACCAGAACTACCGTCATGACAAATTCTAAACAATTTGCAAGGCATGATACTTAAATATGAAACCTGGAGTATTTCTCAGAACATTTTGACACAACTGTGCTAGATCAATAGGAGGAAGGAAGTAGTAGGAGGGGTTCTTTTTGTGTGTGTTAAGCATGGTAACATTTAACTGATCCTTGTGGGAAACTTGTGAACATCTAATCTAGTCTCATGCTTTCAACTTTTGACATATCTAGGGAAGAATGTAAGATCTCTCTGCTTCTCATTGATATCCCTTACTCTGGTCTCTCTTTGTATCTAATCATCATACTGCAGCTAGAAAATCTTTTAAAAACTCAAATTTAATGACTTCCCATTGCCCACTGGAAAAAGTCAGAATTTTTTTGGCTTATCAATCAGCAAAATTCACTATCTGGTTTCAACCCACCTTTCTAGATTCATTGCCCATATGTCTCTTCAAGTTTAACAAGTATTTATTGAATGTCAGGCATTATGTGAGGAAATGAAAACCAATAGTGCAAGTTCTCTGTCCTGAAATGCGAGAGAGAGAGGAACAAAATACTTGTGTTAAGTACTGTTCTAAAGACATAGACCTGTTACAGTAGAAGCAAAAAGAAGGAGCTCCCTGAACTAAATGGCCACTTTAATTCTAACAATATCATACTGCTCCAAAGCTAGGCATTCCCACAGTTTTGACCCTTTAAACTGTGATCTCTGGCAGAAATGCTCTGCCACACAGAATACAAGTCCCTAGCAGACTTGTATTCACCCATTAAGTTACCACCTTCCATCACTTCCCCAATACATATCCCTAATACATATGCTAATGTTCATTGCATGCCTCTGTCACAGCCTTTATCCCTTAATTTTAATCTGTATTTAATCAAATTTCTTCTTCCACGTATGGCTATAATTTGGGTACAGAGTCTGGCATTTATTGATACCTTATTATGTGCTGGACTTCACCTTTATTATTTACTTCAATTCTCCCTAGAACTCTACAAAGTAAATGCAAATATCCCCATGTTTCAGATGCGGAAGTTGAGGCGGAGTCTTGTGCAATGTCACAAATACGGAAGGTTTAAAGATCAAGACAGTCTCCAGAGTCGGCACTCAACCACTAAACTATGCTACCTCAATAATTCATTTCGGAAAGGAAAAAAAATGAATAAACGAAACAACAACCACCAAAAATCGCCCTCTTCCCTAACGTCACCGAAAAGACTAGGAAGGACAGGTACCGAACCTAAGGAATGCCCAAGTTCCTGGGGGGGGGGGCTCCTCGGTCACCGTCAGCAGGCGCAGGCGCCAATCACAGGATCCGGGGGACGCCTGACGAGAGGGCCGCCGGGAGATGGGCAGGTGGGGGTCTGAGGCCAGACGATGAGACGCCACAATTCACTGCCGTGTTCCAGGAGCCGGCTGGGGGCCTGTCCGACTCCGAGAGGTTGAGCGAGGGTCGGGTCAGGCCCGGAAAACTGATTTGTTGATTAGCGGTCCAACACTGTGCCGGAAATGCTTCTATTCTATCAGGCTATGCCACAGGAAGTCATTACAATCCTGTTGCAACCTCTAAAGATGTCCCCATTATGTACGGCACTACGACAGCCTTTTCCTGTCATTATGACCTGCCTGGGCCACGCACCCCTTTACAAAGCTCTGGGACTTGACGGAGCAACCGAATCATCCCTGCCCAGAGAAACCGCTTCGAGTTGGGACGAGGGCGACACGGTCAGGAACGTAGAGAGCGAAGGGTGAGGATTCCTAGGAACATATTTCGACATCGCACTCGGTTAAGGATGGCAGATATTCCCTCTCTGTCAGAGCCTCCAGTGTCGCCAGAACTGAGTGGCGACTTTAAGAAGCCAGCCCTGCCGGCGACCCCAGCAGTGCGGAGTAAGGCTCCGACCGCCAGTCCCGCAAACCTTGAGGAGGTGAAGAAGGAATGGCCCACGGAGCCGCGAGACTCGGACTCTACGGAGCCTGACGTCCCGCCGCCTCGGCGGGACAGCGGAGAGACTAGGAGTGTCCAGGAAGAGCAGCTGCGTCCCCCCACCGCGGTTTCTTCCCCTGGCGGCCCGGCTCGAGCTCCCCCGTACCGAGAGCCGCCGTGGGGCAGCCCAGCCACGGCCCCCTATAGCCTAGAGACCCTGAAGGGTGGCACCATCCTGGGCACCCGTAGCTTAAAAGGGACAAGTTGCTACCTTTTTGGGAGGCTGTCTAGCTGCGACATGTGCCTGGAGCACCCTTCGGTGTCTCGGTACCACGCGGTGCTCCAACACAGGACGTCCGACCCGGACGGAGAATGCGACGGCCACGAGCAGGGCTTCTACCTCTACGATCTGGGAAGTACCCATGGCACGTTCCTCAATAAAACTCGAATCCCTCCCCGCACTTATTGTCGAGTCCATGTCGGGCACGTTTTCCGCTTTGGTGGTAGCACCCGGCTCTTTATCCTGCAGGTAAGTAGAAAAACCAAAAATTGAAATCTCGAGACTTCACCATGCTGGAATCTTGAGCTTCATAAGCTTTGGTTGAGGAAGGGTATTCTCCCAGTCAGCAGTGACAAAAGTGGAGAAATCAGTCTGCATCCTATTTCCGGACCTTTGTACTTACTGCCTTATTTCTGAAAGTAACTCATTCTTGAGCTCTAAAAGTTTGTTTTGTTTTTGTTTCGGTGTGGATCATCAGGGACCAGAAGACGACCGAGAGGCAGAATCCGAGTTAACAGTAACACAGTTGAAGGAACTGCGCAAGCAGCAACAGATGTTGTTGGAGAAGAAGATGCTAGGAGAAGATTCGGATGAAGAAGAGGACATGGATAACACGGAAAGGAAGAGGAATACTAGTAACCAAGATGATGAGATGGGTTGTACCTGGGGAATGGGTAAGAAATTAAAATTGCTGCCTGAGGTTAATATTTTGAGTTACTGGTGGTGTGATTTAATGTTTTTTATATATGACTTTTCATTACTCTTTCAACTAGGACAATTTGCACACCAGGTACCCAAATTCCAGAGAGTCATTACCTTTACTGATGTTAAAAAAGATTTAAATCAAAGACACTAGGATGTATATACACACACCCCTCCTCCTGCCCCATTCCCTTTCTGGGAATTGAACCCAGGTGCACCAAGCTATATTCTCAACACCCCCCCCCCTTTTTTTTTTTGGTGCTGGGGATTGAACTCAGGGGCACTTGACCACTGAGCCACATCCCCAGCCCTATTTTGTATTTTATTTAGAGACAGAGTCTCACTGAGTTGCTTAGAACCTCTCCATTGCTGAGGCTGCCTTTGAACTCATGATCCTCCTGTCTCAGCCTCCGGACTGGCTGGGATAACAGGTATGTGTGGTGACCCCAGTGCCAACCCTTTTTATTTTTAGATAGGCCACTTGTTTGAAATCCTCCTGCCTCAGCCTCTCTGAGTAGCTGAGATTACAGGCATGTCCCACTGCACCCTGCTTCTGTGGCTATTTTAAAATGTGTTTTTTTTAAATATCTTTTTTTTTTTAATTTTTATGTGATGCTAAGGATCGAACCCAGTGCCCCGTGCATGCCAGTTGAGTGCGTTACTGCTTGAGCCACATCCCCAGCCCCCGAAAATGTGTTTTTAATTCACTTTCTGTTTGAAACTTCCTGAGCATACAATTATGCTCAGGTGAAAATTACATTTTTCACCATTTAAATATATATATTAAGTGGGCTAGAGTTGTGGCTTAATGGTAAAGCACTTGCCTGGTATGTGTGAGGCCCTGGGTTTCAGCCTCAGCACCACATATAAATAAGTAAAATAAAATGAAGGATCCATTGACCAAAAAAAATACTAAAAAAGAAAAAAGATATATATATTAATTACTGACCTCATTGCTATTCAATTATCACTGGAAGAGGTGTAACTACATCCAATCAAATAAAATAGAACGTTATTCAATATAGAATATTCTCTTGAATTTTTGTAGTTTGTTAAAAATACCCCAAAAGGTAAACCATCATTAGAGAAAGCTGGTCCCTTAGCCAAAGGAATGAATTGAATTTCCCACAAACACTGTCATTTTAGAGGATGGATATTCAGACAGTAGGACTATAAAAAAAGGAGAATATGTCCTTAACATGTAGGATGGAGCACAGGGTAAATATTCTGAAATTATTTGTGCTAAGTGCCAAAGTTAGGAATCACTAAGGGAGCAGTTACTGAGACTTCCATATACCTTTGCTATCTAGCATGGTAGCTACTACCACATGTGGCTACTTGTAACATGTAACATGGTTAGTCCAAATTTTTAAGTTTTGTAAGTGCAAAATTACACTGGATTTCAAAGACAGTGTGAAAAAAGAATGTAAAATATCTTGGTCATGATAGTCTTGTTACATATTGAAATGACAGTAATTTAACCTGTTTCTTTTTATTTTTTCAATATAGTTAATAGAAAATTTAAGATTAACATGTGGCTTTCTGTTGGACACCACTGATTTCTTAGTTTCTTGGAAGACTTTATAAGTTTATAAGCAGAAGGGTTTTTGAACTGGAACTTAAAAGAAAGGAAAAGTAGCTCCTATGAAGCTGAGTGTTAGAATTGGTACTTAGAGTAAGGACTGAGGATTTTAAGGTAGTGAGTTTACCAGTCTTTTTGACAGATAGGAGAAGTACTAAGAAATTATATTAGAGATAAAAATATTAGACCTGAGTTTGAGAGAAAGAGAATGCCAGGCTGAGGAACTCAAAGTGTGGTAGATAAATTTTGCCTTTAAAATAAGTGATGGAAAAAAATTAAGGTGCGACGGAAACAAGCTTTGACTTGTCATATAATTTAGAAAATCTGAAGATACTCATAGTGCTGGCTTTGTGGCTATTTCACTTCCCACACCCAACTAACTTTCTTTTCATCACATATAACTATATCTTTATGCAGAATAAAAGAATATTGGGTATATTTCAGACAATGTCCTCTCATGTCTCATTATTTTTCCATTCTTTCTTATATCCTGCAGGAGAAGATGCTGTAGAGGATGATGCAGAAGAGAATCCCATTGTCTTAGAGTTTCAGCAGGAAAGGGAAGCCTTTTATATAAAGGACCCAAAAAAGGCTCTCCAAGGTTTCTTTGACCGAGAAGGTACATAAACAGTTTCTGACTTAACAGTAAAATGAACTTCAAACTTAGAAATGCTTTATTTTATTTGCTGCCTTCCTTGTTCAGTTCTTGCCCTTATAGTCAGTTGCTTCAGGCTTATTTTTGGTTTATTGGTTGCCGGGTTTCTGTTCTTGTGACTAAAAGGCTCAGGGGTCACTCTAGTTAAACTGGGCTAACTGGGCTGCACGAAATAACCATACAAGAGACACAAATACCTTTTTCTTTGGGGTTGCTGTGACGGCTCCTCTGACCTTAAGGGTCCGCAGAAAGAGAGAGAGCGAGAACACGTGCTGACCCCTTTTATTGAGGAGAAGCTATTCAAATGAGGCAAGGGGTCAGGTTTCAGGGGGCTGAGTCTGTCTTCATGATGTCCACTGTCAGCAGGTTGACTGACACCTGGGTAGGCCACACCCAAGGGCACAGTAAGAGAAGGGGACACACACAAGGCACTTCCATGGAAGATTCTATCCTAAACAGGGCAAGAGGTTATATTACAGAGGAACAGGTGAGCATAGCTTCACCCGTGGGGCTGTAGCAAGGCACACCCATTTCTGTGACTGAGCGCCTCAGCACCCAGCTGGGGAGTGTAACTCAGTCACCCCTAAGGTTGGCCTCCCACAATTGGTTGGTTTGTTTTTGAACCCAGAACCTCATATATGCCAGGCAAGTGCTTTACTACTGAGATATACCCCCAGTCCCAGATTTATTTTGAAAATAATAAAAAATCTTGTTAGCTTTTCTTCCAATCTTAGAAAAAGAAAGTACCTTTTTTCTTAACTCATCATTCTTCTTAGAAGATCTTGGACTTTGTTGATAGGGAAATTGAGCCAATCCTTTATAATTTTTTGTTTCTAATGCACCTGATCGTCATAGTTCTTAACATGGATTTCAACTTTATGTGATTTTAAATGTTTCCACAGAAGATTGTTTCAGTAGAGGTACTTTAAGAGAACATCTAGTATGGCTCAGCGCTAGAGCGCTCGCCTCACACATGCAAGGCCCTGGGTTTGATCCTCAGCACCACATAAAAATAAATAAAAGTTATTGTGTACAACTATTAAAAAAATAAAAATATATTTATTTATATGTGTGTTATGCATATATGTATATTATTTTACATGCACATGAACACACATACACAGAGTCATTCCTGTGCATCCTCAGGGATTGATTCCTCCTCATCAGGATACCAAAATCCAGTGATGTAAGTGGCATGGTATTTGCATATAACCTACTCTCAGCCTCCCATGTACTTAACATCATCTCTAGATACATACAATATCTAATATGTGTAAATGGTTGTTATACTTATTGTTTAAGTAATAATGACAAGAAGAACAAGTCTACATGTTCAGAACACAATTTTTTTCCCCTCTGAAGATTTGCAATGGATTGAATTTTAATAATATGATATATAATTGTGTGTGTGTGAGAGAGAACTGGTTGCTTTCTATACTTAATATTTATGCTTCTAAAAATGAACTGCAACAAAAGAACTTAAATCTACAACTTATAGAAAGTGTGAAAACTACTATGGAGTGAACAAAACTGTGTATGGAGAGTTGGTTTATTTTTGTTTGATTTTTAGTGGTACTAGGGATTGATCCCAGGGCCTTGCATATGCTTAGCATGTCATCTATTGCTAAGCTGCCCACCCCCCTAGCCCAAGTTGATTGTTTTGATATGAGTTTGCGTTCCTCTGTATCATGCTCATTCTAGTTTTATTATCAGATGGTAATCCCTAGGAATGAGAAGTAAAATGTATTGAAATTTAGTATTCAATGTGATATGGAAATTTGATTTCCTCATTTAACCTTTGCTCTCTTATTGTATCAACCCCTAATTTTTAGATCCTATTTTTAAAATTATATTTCTTCCACAGGAGAAGAACTAGAATATGAATTTGATGAACAGGGACATAGCACTTGGCTCTGCAGGGTGAGGTATGTTCTTTTTTAGTAATATCTATTTCTGAAAAAGACCCAATTTCAGGTTAATTTATGGTTGTAGATAACAACCCAAAGAGTAACTTTAGTCTAAATTTTAGACTATGCCTAAATTTGTGCCTTGATACTATAACTACACTTATGTTATTGGAAGGGGGATGAGATTCGTAAGAGGTAGAAGGAAAAAAACTTGAAGTCTAACCTTGGCAAAATAGAACAAAATTGAGAAATTGAAAAGCCATCTAAAAAACATGACTGTCATCACAGCATATTAATTGTTTTCATATGAATTGGAGCTTTAATTCCTTCTAATTCCCCCAATGCAGATTACCTGTGGATGATTCAACTGGGAAACAGCTGGTGGCTGAGGCCATTCACTCAGGAAAGAAAAAAGAAGCAATGATTCAGTGCTCACTGGAAGCTTGCCGGATCCTTGATACTTTGGGATTGCTGCGGCAGGAAGCAGGTCAGCATATGGGGTCAGTTTTCTTCAAAAAGGAAAACTTAAAAGGCAATAAAATCTCTTTTCAGGAGGAATATGTAAATTGTATAGAATGTTTTAAAGAAAAAATTCCCTATCTCAGTATCCTAAGGTAGCTATTGTTTATGTTCTTCCAAACATATTCTATACATACGTGTTTAGAACTAGATCCTGCTGAGGTTGTAACTCAGTGGTAGAGTGCTTCCTAGAATGTGCAAAGCCCTGGGTTTGATATTTAGAACTTTAAGAAAAAAAATAGAACTAGATTCTCTAATAAGAAACATACACTTGTCATCAATGCAGTCTTGTTACTTATGCTTTTTTTTTTGACTTTCTTAACATAAGAATGTGTCATGGATTATTTGTATCAACACAGTAGATTTTCCTCATTAAGAAAAAAAAAAGTGGCTAGCTGGGTGCTGCGGCACACTCCTGTAATCCCAGCGATTTGGGAGGCTGAGACAAAGGGATCACAAGTATGAGGTCAGCCTCACCACTTAGCAAGGCCCTCAGCAACTTAGTGAGACCCTGTCTCAAAAAATAAAAAGGACTGGGAATGTAGCTCAGTGGTAAAGAGTCCCTGGTTAAATCCCCAGTACCAAAAAAAAGTGGGGGGCTGGCTATACAATCATTTATTAATGAGGTCTATATTATATTTTCAAATATCCTAAAATTTATTATTATTATTATTTATTTTTTTTGGGGGGGGGGGTATTGGGGATTGAACCCAGGGGCTCTTAACCACTGAGCCACATCCCCAGGCCTTTTTAAATGTTTTATCTAGGGACAGGGTCTAGGTGAGTTGCTAAATTACTGAGGCTGGAGATGAACTAGCTATCCTCCTGAGGCTGGTGATGAACTCACTATCCTCCTGCTCAGCCTCCCAGCAGCTGGAATTAAGGCATGTGCCACTGTGCCCAGCTTCCAAAATTAATTTTTAACATTGCCAAGTAACTTATGGCTGTCTTTAAACTGTCAAAGGATTACAATAAAATGTACCTGTTCCCTGCCCTAATCCTGTTCATTTGTCGAGTTTTTCAGCTTTTTTCAGACATTTCTTCTGGCACTTAAAAATACCTGTATTCCCAAGAAATAAGAATATAGTGTTTTATTTTGAGTCACTTATTTTAGACATTACCTATTGACTCCATTTAATTATTCAATATTTATTTGATTATGTTGATACAAATAATAGTCACAGCTCAACAGTTTTGTTTTCCCTAAAGATAATGTTTATGCTTTTTTCTCCATGTGTTTGGATTTGTTTTTTTTTATTAACCTCTTTCCTATTCTTCTCATACTTTTCAATAGGCTTTCAATATATTTTTTCACATTGTTCAATCATATTAATTATCAGTTCTGAGTATTTTTTGAGACATTCCTTCTGAAGAGTATTACTTTCCTTCTTTTAGACCTTTAGGCATATTGCTTTCTAGATCTGCTGCAAGACTGTCACCTGAGACTTGACTTGCTATCATCCTTGAGGATTTCCTTTCACTTTCTCTAGGATTGGATTTTCTGTTTCTTAATTCTCATATTTCTTGGCTTATTCCTTTGTTTTAGTGGTCTTTTTCTCATTTATCTTTTTCCTTTTTTATTTGCTGATTTTTTTTCATTACTCACTGATTTTTAAGAGCCTTTTGCTCAGTAAACTGACCATTTGTTTTAATTTTTTTAAAACATTTATTTTTTAGTTGTAGTTGGACACAATACCTTTGTTTTATGTATTTATTTTTATGTGGTGTTAAGGATCGAACCAGGGCCTCGCACATACTAGGCTGAGGCCCTGGTTCGATCACTGAGCCCCAATCCTAGCCCTGTTTTATTTATTTTATTGTTGTAAAATGTACATAAGAGGGCTGTATCTTAGTGGTAGAGTACTTGCTTAGCATGTGCAAGGTCCAGGGTTCAATTTCCTGCCAAAAAGTAAAAAAGTGTATGTGTATATACACGTGTATATATATATGTGTGTGTGTGTGTCATGTGTACATATATATATATATATATACACGTGCCTGTGTGTATATATATACGTATATACACATATATGTATGCACACACATACACAACATAAAATATACCATTTTAAATATATAATTCAGTGGCATTAGGCGTATTCACATTGTTGTACAACCATTACCACTGTTCATCTCAGAACTTTTTAATTATTCTGTGTTGCAACTGTACCAAGTTCTTTTTCCTCTCCAGAACCTTGAGAACTACCATTCTATTTTTCCCTGTGTGAATATGACTACTTTAGGTACCTTGTATAAATGGAATCATAGAATAAGTGTCCTTTTGTGTCTGACTTATTTTACTTAGCATCATGTTTTCAAGGTTTAGCCCTTTTTTGTTTGTTTGGTTGGTGGGTTTTTATTTTTTTTTTTAAGTGTACCAGGGATTGAACTCAGTGGCACATCCCCAGTCCTGTTTTGTATTTTATTTAGAGACAGGGTCTCACTGAGTTGCTTAGCATCTCATTTTTGCTGAGGCTGGCTTTGAACTTTTGAACTCCTGGCTCAGCCTCCTGAGTCACTGGGATTACAGGTGTGCACTACTGTGCCCAGCTAGCCCTTTTTTTGTGTGTGTGGGTTGGCAGCTTGTGGAAATCCTGTTTAATCTGCTTGCCTTTTTTCTCTTTATAAAATTTATTTCATTATTATTATTCATTATCATTCTTTCATTTTATGACCTCTAGTATCTCGGAAAAGGAAAGCCAAGAACTGGGAAGATGAAGATTTTTATGATAGTGATGATGACACATTCCTTGATCGCACTGGCCTTGTGGAGAAGAAGCGTCTTAACCGAATGAAGAAGGCTGGGAAGATTGATGAGAAGCCAGAGACCTTTGAATCACTGGTAAGTTTTACTTATAAAATAAGCTGTGGTAGCATGTTTGTTTTTGTTTTTGTTTTATAATCAATGCATTATAGAACTCTCTTTTGTGATAATTATAATTTTAAGGTAGTATCATTAAAATCTGTAATCTATAAATTTAATGATAACAAACACTAGTCTTATCCAAGATGTTGGAAATAAAAATATGACTTGCTGCTAGAAACTTTGCTCCAGGATTATATTAATCCATTAATGAACTTTTTTTTTTTTTAATATGATATTCCCCAAAAAGAAAAGAAAAAGTTCCAAATTAGGGCATCCAAGGTAAAATTGACTTTAGGACTGTGGTAGTCAAGAGGAATCGAAAGGATTTTGAGAAATATAGTATAGTGTCAGTCTGGAACAGTATATCTTTCATGAAATTATCATAAGGTGTGGTATGCATTTAACACTGTGTAGTAGAATTCAGAGCTTAAAACATTATCCAACATCTGTTCTTTCGATTCATCAATGAAAACAAATGCCTGGAAGTGCTTCCTTTGAAGTAAAATCTGAGTTACTTATTCTGTTTAATTCTGAATTCTTTCATTTAAAAATTAATTCAGCTAGAATTAAACCAGTAAAAAGTAATAAGGAGCAGATTTTGCTGGACTTTTGAACTAATCCGCTTAAAGTTTGTAGTAACAATAGTGAAAATATGAGGATGATAAACAGTTGCAAAGAGGGAAAACATTTGCTAACCCTGTTGATCTGGATGTTACAGGTTGCAAAGTTAAATGATGCTGAAAGGGAACTCTCTGAAATTTCTGAGAGGCTCAAGTCCTCAAGCAAAGGTAAGGCTGTCATCAAATACTATTGAGCACCTAGTATATATAGTGCATTGTGTTAGGCTCTGGTTAATAACATATATAGAATATGAAGGTTTTCTAAGGAGCAGTATAGCATTTTGGAGCTAGAAGGAACATTGTAAATCATTTGGGCTAACCTCTTTATTTAACAGTTGAGTAGAATGAAACTCATTCTAAGTCATTTCCCAAGGTCACATAGCTATAATCTGTTTTCTTATTCCTAATCTCAGTGATCTTCTCTAACTAGCTTTATATAAGTGATTTTTTTCTCTAGAAATTTTGGCTGAATTTAAAAGTATTTGGAGTAATCTGCCTAAATATATATTATCCCTTTCTTGGACAGCTCTGTCAGAGTCCCCACCTCAGGATTCTTTAGATGCATTCATGTCAGAAATGAAATCAGGGAGTGCATTAGATGGTGTGTCCAGGAAGAAACTTCATCTCAGAACTTTTGAACTGAGGAAAGAACAACAGAGGCTTAAAGGGTTAATAAAAATTGTAAAGCCAGCAGAGATTCCAGAACTAAAAAAGTAAGTAATCCGTTGATATTTGGAATTTTAAATAAATGTGGTATTTAATACCCTGAATTTCTCTTTTATCTTCTTAAATAATTATTATAATTATAGAATTTTTTTTTTTAAGCTGTGCTGGAGATTGAACCTAGGACCATCATGCATGCTAGGCATGTGCTCCCATATCCCAGCCTAGCACAGAAAACCTTTAAAGCATTGGTCTTATAGAGTAACTAAAACCCCATTTAATTTGTGAACTATGGATTGTTGGAGGATTTTCAAAAGAAACTATGTAGATTCCTGATTCACTGGAAGGCTCTAAAGTTTTTTACTTCATCTTTTGCTGCACAATAAACTTTTCATAAAAACAACATGCACAGAAACCAAATTAAGACCTGTGAGCCTTACATGTAATGCACACCTGTAACCCCTATTTGGGAGACTGAGGTAGGAGAAGTTCGAGTTTGAGGCCAGCCTGGAAATTTAGTGAAACCCAGTTTCAAAATTAAAAAAAAAAAAAAAAAATGGGGAGGAGGGCCTGGGGATGTGGGGATACAGCTTAGTGTTAGAGCAGTTGCCTAGCATGTACAAGGCCCTGGCTTCAATCCCAAGTACTGGAAAACAAAAAAACAAAAACAAAACTATGAATGATAAATAGATAACCAACAACCCAAGAGAAAAATAGGGAAAGGATATCAACCAACAGGCCTCAGAAAAAGAAATACAAATTATTCCTAACTATATGAAAATATGTTCGACCTCACTTGTTGTAAGAAAAATATAAATACTATAATGTAACATATTTTTTATCCATGAAATTCACAAAAACTCATATATACTGTGCCAGTGAAGCTATGACTAAAAGACATTTCTTGAAAGGCAAATTATTATTATTTTGTTGTTTTTTTGCTTTGTTGAAAGGCAAATTGTGATTTTTCCCTATACAGGGCAAATTGGCAGTTTCTATCCTGGTTGCAAATACATATGACCTTTGAGCTAATTATTATTAGATGTAATTATAATTTCTAGAAATTGGTTCTTCACATTCTTAGGAAATGAACAATATATATTGTAGCATTATTTATAGTAGTAAAAGATGAGAAACTACCTAAATATTTATCAAAGGGAATGGGCTAACTAAATTATAATATACATATATAATTGAATATTATGTAGCTGTAAAAAAATAGGCAACTAAGTAAAATGTGGAAACATTGTCAGATATATTAAGTAACAGAAAAATGTGCATCAAGGATTGTCTGTGGTAAAGAAAGAATACATCAGTAGGCCATTGCTTGATTATGTGTATGATCTGTTTAGGTCAGGTTCTCTAAAAACAGACTCTAAGATAGATATTTGTCTGCAAGTGATTTACTGAGACAGTGCTCTTGGGAGAAATTTGTAGAGGAGTGAGGGAGCAGGATAGGTAGAGGAAGAAGCTGGGCAAAGAAGTAGTTTCAAGATCTGTAATGGCATCACAGATGCCTTAGAGACTCGGAGCTTGGGCTTTCGCCACCCAACCTTTTATTGACCATGGATAGTTGAGAAAGGACACACAAGAATTCTGAGAAAGGTGCAAGTGTGGACCTTTAGCCATCAGTGTCTGCGGTACTTGGTTGTCCTCATTAAGAAAATCTGAGAAGGATTCCAGCAGCATATGCTACTGTTTATCTGGCAAGGTTTATAAAAAGCTGATAACAAGGGGTTGGGGTTTTGGCTCAGTGGTAGAACACTTGCCTAGCATGTGTGAGTCACTGGGTTCAATCCTCATTTATTTTATAAAAATAAATAAATAAATAAAGGTATTGTGTCCACAACTAAAAACAAATTTTTAAAAAAGCTGATAACAATATGCAAATATGGTACAACAAAGCCCACTATTTTGAATAATTATTATGCACTAATAAAGAAAAAAAAAGGTTTCAGGTGCTTTGGTACACACCTATAATCCCAAATACTCAGGAGGCTAAGGCAGTAGGATTACAATTTTAAGTCCAGCCTGGGCAATTTCGCAATAGAAAAGTATTGGAGATGTAGCTCAGTGGTAGAGCACACCTGGGTTTGATCCTCAGTAACTCTCTGCCTCCCCTCTCAAAAAACTTTTTTTTTTAATGAAGCTGATAACATAATTGACCCCTGGGAATGGGAACTACAGTGGGTGGGGGTCAGCAAAAAGAGAAAGACTTTTCACAATATAAATACCTTTATATACTTTCTGAGTTTTGAACCAAGTGAGTATACTTTCTATTCAAATATATTGATTTTAAAAAGAAAATGCTATGTCAAATATCCATACTGCTGTAGGTCTAAATTTATTGTAATATGGTTACAGTTTTAGTTTTAAATATTAAATAGCAGGAAAATTAAATATCATACTAACAACTGGAGATGTGGCTTAGTGTAGAGTGCTTGCCTAGCATGATTGAAGTCCTGAGTTCCATCTCCAGCATTGCCAAAAAAAAAAAAAAAAAAAAAAAAAATCGTATTATCATCATATTATCAGTTTTGTTGTAGTGAAGCTATTTCTTAATAAAAGCAAATCTATCCCTTGTGGGTGGGGAGAAACATCTCACTATAGATGTGTGAATATTTCTTTGGGTACATTAGGCATATAGCAGGCAAAGGTTTAAATGCCCTTTTTATTAGAAAAACCCCAGTTCTAACAATGAATGTGGAGAGAGAGAAGAGGGAGATACCTATGATGAGGGACCCCAGGAGCTGGACCCTGATTTACTTCTGAAACAAATGGCTGGAAGTTGTGAAGTAGGATGTAGCTTGCCATCTTTCTCGTTTTTCTTTTCTTCTTTCTAGTTGTAAATCTGGGGTTAAACCAGCAGAGCTAGGTTAGAGCTCACTAGATTAGCCTGGACAAGGGCTTGACACAGCTGATTTTCATAATCAGGAATGATAATCTTGTAAAATAGTTTTACAATTTTTTTTTCTTTTCTTCTAATGTTGGGAATTGAACCCAGGGCCTTGGGCATGCTAGGCAAGTGCTCTACCACTGAACTATATTTCCACCCCCTTCCATAGTTTTAAATTGAGTCTGTACATGTCATTCTTGACATTCTTTTCTCAGGAGTGATAAATCTTGGACTTGGATGCTTCTAAAAACCACAGAGCAAAAGCACAAATTGGCTAACATTTACTAGACATTGAACTCAGGGGCACTCAACCACTGAGCCACATTCCCAGTCCTAGTTTGTGTTTTATTTAGAATCAGGGTCTCATTGAGTTGCTCAGTGCCTCACTTTTGCTGAGGCTGGCTTCAAACTCGTGATCCTCCTGTCTCAGCTTCCCAAGCCACTGGGATTACAGGTGTGCACCACCATGCCTGGCTTACAAATTGTCTTTTAATTCCTATATTTATCATTCTTAAGAACCAGTTGAAAATTGTTCAATTTGTGTGAATTTTTTTTTTAAAGCAAAATCTCTTCCTTTAAAGGAAGGAAGCATAATCTAGAAGTGAATTTTGTTAACTTTGCATTTGGGAAATTATTGGGTTAGATTAATTCAAATTCATTTGGAGACATCTAGAAGATTATCAAGTCATTTCTTTTTTTTAATATTTTTTTAAAGAGGGAGAGAGAGAGAGAGAGAGAGAGAGAGAGAGAGAGAGAGATTTAATATTTATTTTTTAGTTATTGGCAGACACAACATCTTTGTTTGTATGTGGTGCTGAGAATCGAACCCGGACCGCACGCATGCCAGGTGAGCGCGCTACCGCTTGAGCCACATCCCCAGCCCCTCAAGTCATTTCTAAGTCAGATTTTGAGGATAATTTATGAGTGAGAGAGTATGTATAGGGGCTGGGAAACGATCCAGTCTTTCAACTTGACAGTATTTAAAATTTTATTCTATATGGTCTCATTAAATTTTGAAAATGTAGAATAGATTGTTATAGAAATAAACAACCCCCAGGAGCACAGTTCAGGTGGGATCTCAAAAAGTAGTACTGGCTACATGGGTTCATCCACTTCTGAAGGTGGTTAACTGCAGGAAGTTTCTTATTTTCATTAGATAATACTGTTCAATATAGCACCCAATAGGTAGGTACATGTATTATTAAAGCTAAAATTTCTTTTTTTCTTCTGTTTTTTGTTTGTTTTTGTGGGCTTTTTTTTTTTTTTTTTTTTTGGTTTTGTTTTGTTTTCAATACTGAGATTGAACCCAGGGGTGCTTTACCACTGCGCTACATCCTTGGCCCTTTTTTTTTTGTTTTTTAATTTTGAGACAGGGCCTTGCTAAATTGCTGAGGCTAATCTCAAATTTGTGATTGTCCTTCCTTAATCTCCCAAATTGCTGGGATTATAGGTATGTGCCACTGTACCTAGCTAAAATTTCTCTAAACAACATTAACTGTTCAGTTTTTCAGTTATACTAGCCACATTTCAGGTGCTCCGTAGCCACATGTGGCTGGTGTCTACTGTATTGGATAGTGCAATATAGAAAATTTTCATCATTGCACTTCTGTTGGACTCTACTCTAGTTTGTCAGTAAATACTTAAGTCCCTCATCCCTATTATGAAATTTGTAACCTGATGGCATTATATAGGAATATCTACATATTAAAAGGTACCTTCTCAAGCCAGGTGCTATGGTACAAATTTATATTCCTAGCTACTTGGAAGTTTAGGCCTTAAAGTAAAATAAAAAGGGCTGGGGATGTAGCTCAATTATGGAATGCTTTCCTAGCATGTATGAGGCCCTGGTTCAGTCTCTGGTAACATACCTACACATACAAAGGTGGAAAGACAATAAATTTGTGAATGTATGTATAAGAGAAAATAAATAAAGAGCTTAGTGTTATCCATAGATTTAGGCATCTACTGGGGATCAGAGAGGACTACTGTGTAGTGATTCCTAATCCTAATTCCTAATCCTAATCACAAATGTCCAGTTAACCAGTATGACATCTAAATTACCTAACTTAATGATGGTAAGAAATAGGTTCCACAGAGTTAGACTTTCTAGGTTTAATTCTCAGCTCTAGCAATTACTTATTGGGTATTTTGAGGCAAGTTAATTTACTTCTTTGTTCATCACTTTTTTCATTTGTAAATTGGAGGTAATGAAGATGCAAAGATTAAATGGATAGCACTTAAAAGTGCTGGTATACGTATATTATTKTCATGATTGTCTTAAGTTTTACTATTTCTGTTGTGTCTAGAAACTATTCATAACATTGTTTTTGTAAGTAAGAACTCAGGGGACATAGGCAGGGTAAACAAATTACTTGTGAGTTTAATTTCACCTTGATCATCCTTTAACTTGTTAAGTCAGCCCCTTGGGTGGTGTTCTGAGCTAAAAGACATGTTTCCACTTCCTCTGGAGGCTCCCTTCTTGTTGGTGGTCTGTGTGGTTGCCTGGTTTCTCTTTTCTTTCCCTTCTTGGCTACTGGCCTAGATGCTCTCTACTTCTCCCTCCACTTCTCACTTCAGAGTTGAATTTCCAAAGTTTCTACCTAACTTGCCTCCCAGACTTATCCTCCAAGCAACTCCTAGTTGTGTTCCTCTCTCCTGCTCTTTCATTTCCTTTGAGCCAGTCTTTGCACATCCTCCAGACTAGCCCAGTCATTTAATAGCTATTAAATATCTGCTATTTAATGTAGTAGAAAAACATCTGTGTTATTACCTTTCTCTATGAGGCTTATAGGGATGGGTGCAAAGGGTCATGATTTAGCAGAGGGTATTTCAGGGTCAGGCAGGCAGGATTTTTCTGGTGGTCTTAAGAAGGGAATGGGTTCTGACACTGATAGGGAGAAAGGTGGTGAAGCTGGGTCCCAAGAATGCCACTAGGGAAGGGGACAAGACTTAATTCAAAGATGGCAGGCAGCAAGTGAGCTTCAGAATAGGCCAGGGTAGTCAGTTTCTCATAAGGTCTAGAAGTGTCAGTCCTGTCCTTATATTCCAGTTTGCAGGAGTGTCTCATGGTCCAGGTGAAGGCAACATGGGGCTTTTTTCCCTGGTCTAGTTTGGTTCTTTTAAGTTTTCCTCTGTTTCCTTAAGCCATCTCCTCATTGCCTTTGTGACCTCTGCTTACTTTCCCGTGTCTTCATACATCTTCTAATTATTGCCTTTGCCTACCTCTCATTGTCACCTTTGCTACTCTGACAAGTTCAGTGTCTTGTTAACTGCTGTCTTTTTTGTTTTTACTGTTCTCTTCCTTCTCCTTTCTAATTTCTGCTGTCTCTTCTTTTTTATTCTTTTTCAGCGTTACTCTCTTGGTCTTGGCTTTTATAACCATCTCTAGCCAATTAGAATGTTGACAACCTCAACAGTTGCTCTCTCTTAATTATGCAAGCTATCCTACCTACCCCCCACCTATGCACACACTTCCTTTTTTTTTTTTTAATGTCTTTGCTCATAGCACATGGTTATGGTTAAGTGTGAACTCTGGATAAGTAAAGTAAGTCACTTCAGAGATTGGTGGGAAATAGGGCTTTACACCATAGATCCATCTCCTGCTACTTAATGGAAATGGGGTCATGCTTAATGTATTCTCCTTTACCAGTGACCTTTGTACTATAGTCATCATTTGATGCTGACTGAGCATGTTGTAATTTATTCATCTAAGGGAGCAGTATCATCTTGCCTTTAATAATTCTGTTCATGATAGTCAGCAATGTCATTGTCCATTCAAACTCTGCTTGTCTGAATACCTCCTTCTTGTTGTATGCTCCAGATACTCATTTTGTAGTCACTTTTGTTTTACCAGAAGTTCCTTTGTCAGTGTTACAATATTTATAGATAAAATCTTGGACTCACCAGAATAGATATGTATAATTGTTCTTTCTTCCTAGGACTGAAAGTCAGACTACAGATACAGAAAATAAAGCTAAGAAACTTACACTGCCTCTCTTTGGTGCCATGAAAGGAGGAAGCAAATTCAAGTTAAAAACTGGAACAGTAGGGGTAAGTTGTGAGTCAAGGAAGAGTGTTAAACTTTTAACTGGTGAGTTATCCCTGAGCCAATTTTTATTTTACAAGTGCAAATGACTCATTACACCAGTGTGTTAAAAAGAGTTATGGGTTTGGTATAGTCATATCTTTCTCAGAATTTGCTTGTTAGCTTTTTCTGTTCAATTTAGAATTATAAGAATTGGCAAATTAATTCATACCAGTCAATTTGTAAGTAACTGATTTGTAAATTCAAGTAATAGTTTGTTAATTTCAAATGAATATTGGGTTTAGAAATAGATCTACACTGAATGCTTTTTTTTTTTTTTTTTTTTTTGGTGGCGGGGGGCAGGGGGAGTAGGTGTAGTAGAGATATGGTCTTGCTAAGTTGCCTGTGCTAACCTTGAATTGTGATCCTTCTGCCCCAAATTTCCAAATACTTGGGATAACAGGTGTGCACTACTACATCTGACTCAGTTAAATGTTTTTAACCTGGTGAATGGATGTAATAGTCAGACTCAAATAATATTAGGAATGTAACGTATATGCTTGTCTCTGCCATATGATTTTCCATACTCTGTTTAATCCTTCCAATACCTTACAACTTGTGGGAAATACTATGTCTTAAAGAAGAAAAAACAGGTAAAATACCATATAACACCATCAGATCCATCTTTTCTCCTAAGTTTTATGATCTTTCTACTCTTCTGTAATGTCTCACTGATGGTTGTTTTTGCTTTACATATATTCCTATTTATAGACTTAGCTTTTAAAAGTTTTTTTTATCACCCTAAAGAACTGAACCTGTGGGGTATTAGTTTGCTAGGGCTGCTATAACAAAATGCCACAAAATGGGTGGCTTAAAACACACAAATTTATTTTCTCACAGTTCTAGATGCTGGAAGTCTTAAGATCAAGGTGCTGACAGAGTTGGTTTCCTTCTTGACTTGCAGATGGTTGCCCCCTCTTGCTGCTCTTTCACTTGATAGTCCCTCTGTGCATTTGCACTTTGGGCGTATCTTCTAGTGACACCAGTAATATTGACTTAGGGCCCTGTCCTAAATGCCTCATTTATTATTTTTAAATGCAGTCACATTCTGAGGTCCTAGGGATTAGAACTTCAAAATGTGAATTTGCAGGATATGGAAGTAGGGAGGATTCAGCCCATTAATACCTTGTATTGGGATATACTGCCCTCTGGTGGCAGAGATGAAGTCTCAGCTATGTGTACTGAATGAGTTGTGTGGTTTATGGAAGAGGGAAGCTTTGGGTTAGGGGCAGTGTTTATGTTTTAAATAGACGAAAAATGCTTTCCTAAAATAACTTTCTTAGAGGATTACCAAACTAAGTTATATATATTTTTTAAAAAGATATAAACAAGGTATACTTTGAAACTTCTGTTCCACAAATATGATCAACTTTTCCTAATAAGTGCTTACATTGAAAGGCCTTGATTTAAACGTGCTTTTCTGGATATGGTGGCATATGCCTATAGTTTCAGCTACTTGGGAGGCTAAGGCAGGAGGATCACTGGGAGCCCAGGAGTTCAAGGACGGCCTGAGTGACATAGGAAAACAGTGTCTTTAAAAAAAAAAAAAAAATTATGTTGCTTTATACTTTAAGAAATGTCTTCCTATTCTTCAGGATCAGTTTTACTGTTTTACAAGTCTTATTTCCTTGAAATTACATTAAGTCTAAAAGGAAAAAACAGTATGATGACTTCTTTCTTGGGAATGTGTGTCTGATTTATTCCCTAGAAGATTTTGTAATAAATTAGGGTCCTTTAATATTAAGAGGTCAAATAGGATAGAATTCCTACAGCTATTGCTCATCTGGAATAAATGTTTTATTTCCCTCTGAGCTGTTTCAAATGTTTCAAACCACTGCAACCCACATTGCTGGGAATCAAACCCAGGGCCTTGTACATGCTAGGCAAGCACTTTACCATTGAGTTACACCTCAGTCCTAAAAATGTTTTGATTCTATAAACTAATAAACATACTTGTTAAGAGTCCATAGATGGATACCATTTTATGTGAAAATTCTACATCCAGCCTGCTTTTGCAGGATTTATCAACCTAGAGAGTTAGACATCCTATGCATTTGGTTTAACCTCCTGGAAGAAATTTGCCTCTTTTTTTATCATTGTGTAGAACCACACATTTGTGGTTTTGTTTCCCTCACAGAAATTGCCCCCCAAGCGTCCAGAACTCCCTCCGGCTCTAATGAGAATGAAGGATGAGCCTGAAGTAGAAGAGGAGGAGGAAGAAGAAGATGAAGAAGAAGAGAAAGAAAAGGAGGAGCATGAAGAGAAAATGGAGGATGGAAACAGCAGGTTGCCACAGGAGATAGAGCCAGAAACTTCAGTGCAGGAAATGAGTTCTCCCATAGATCTCACATGTTCTAAGGAAACAAAAAACCATGGTAATATCTTTCTCCACCCAGTGCAATTCAGAGGGCCAGTTGTATTACTTATGAATAGGGTTAAAAAAGCAAACTAGTTCTTGTCTATGAGTTTTGACGTTATATATTTGAGACACTGACTCTGTACTAAGGAAATGTAGTTAGTCCTCTTCCTTTGACTGCCAGTCATTGTTTATTCTATTCCAGTGTGTTCCAGAATGATAGAGGATTGAAATCCGTAGATTCTGTCATCACGGCTGCTGAGGAATGACCCTGAGCTGATGCCACTGTAGAGGTGGAGGGCAGGGGAGTAGTGTGAGTGTTGGGGCTTGATTAGGTGATCTCTGGATGAATCTCCCCTTACTCATTTTTCTCCCCACCCTTAAACAAGCCTAAGCCTAATGAACTAAAGTTCTCAACAAGAATCATGCCTTATTCATCTTTTTGTCTATAGTATCTAAAAGAGAATCTGGCACATAACACTCACCTTCATGAGAAAAGATTTAATGAAAAATATTGAGAGAGGGAATTGATTAATTTGAAAATAATTTTTGTGATTATGAAAAGAATATTTATGCATTTTAGAAATTTTAGATATAAAAGTACAAAGAAGAAAAAAGAAATCTTTCCAAATCTCAGCTCTAGAAATTACTATTTATCTTTTAGTCCCTCTTATTCCTTATTAACTGTAGGAGTTATTTTCCTGCAGGTTGCCAAATGGTTTAGCAAGATTAAGATCTCACAAAAAATAGGGAATGTGAGGAAAAGTAAACACTGGTGTTAAATGTGTGTGGGAATGTGTGCATATCTACTTCAGAGAGACTACACTGGTGTACTTACAACAGTAGGCCTGGAGTACAGTCTTCCTCTTGAGTCACCTTCAACTGTGTCTGAGGAACAGAAAAGTTACTGTTTCCTCACCTATTTGCCTTCTTTGTTTAGTTGTTGGCAAAATACTTGCCTTTTTAAAAATATACTTATATGTAGTTTTGTCTGCGCCTGGGACTTTGGGCCATACCAGTAGGAAGGGGAGCAATAAGTATTATATTTTATTGTTTAGGGACCAAAGTATACCTGTGTATGAAAATGGAATAGGTTTTAAAATCTGATTTATAAACTTAAATTGGTAAATCCGTGACTGCTGAGGGATTGTTCCAGGCCTTTTTTCCTCTACTTTTTTATTTTTACAGCATGAGGATCCTATTTTACATGCTATTTTTTAGCCTGTTTTTTCCCTATGTCTTAAAATGTTTTTTATTTAATTTTGTTTTGTTTTGGTATCAGGGATTAAACCCAGAAGTGTTTAACTACTAAGCCACATCCTCAGCCCTTTTTCTTTTTTGAGACAAGGTCTTGCTAAGTTGCTTAGGGACTCAGTAAATTCCTAAGACTATCTTTGAACTTGTGATCCTCCTGCCTCAGCCTCCCAAGTCACGGTATGGCAGGCATGTGCCACTGCACCTATCTTAAAATGCTATTTTTAAATGTTGCTTTGTACTTAGGGGTAGGGCATCACTTGGATGTGTCATAATTTATTAACTTTTACTTATTAAACATACAAATCACTTCTTAATGTTTGCTATTGTAAACATTTAATCTTGGTGCTTGACTCTGGTTTTTTTTTTTTTTTTTTTTTTAAATATGTTCCTGGGAGACACCAAGAAATATGTATATTTTTAAGGCTTTTTGTAAGTTTTGCCAGTAAGTTTACCTCAAAGTTGGCTGGGTTTTTTAAGTGTAAAATTGGTCTTGTTTGATATCTAGAGAAATACATTTATTGGAAACCTCATTAAAGTTAGTTGAAGCTGCCAGGCACGGTTGCACATGCCTGTAATCCCAGCAGTTTGGGAGGCTGAGGCAGGAGGATCTCAAGTTCAAAGCCAACCTCAGCACCTTATTGAGACCCTCAGCAAATCAGTGATACTCTGTCTCTAGATAAAATACAAAAAAGGGCTGGGATTTGGTTCAGTGGTTGAGTGCCCCTGGTTTCAATCCCCAGTACCAAAAAAATAAAAAAAGTTAGTTGAAGCTGATGACAATAAAACTAGATTATCATATATAGGCATAGATTCTTTTGCTTTTTGTTTGTTTGTTTTTTTTTTTTTCTTGTCTTTCCACCATTAACTAAATAATAACAGTAGGCTTTGGTACTGTTTTTTGTAGAAAACATGTCTCAAATCAGCCACATGGAACAGAATAAAAATTATCAAGAGATTAATGAAACATCTTCATCATGCAAAGAACCATCAGGTAAGTAGCGTAGCAGATTCTTTTGCCTCTCTGTGTGCAGATGCATCCTAACTTTAAAAGGAGGGGTTGGCAGCTGACCCTAAGGCAGCATAGGAAATGGCCATATAGACCCTAGGTAGGTGCAACAACCAGCACCCTGAATGAAATTGGAGTATGTGAGAGGTTTGTGTTTGGTGCTATCTCATGTGCCTTTTACTCCTCTTCTCCCTGTCCCACAATGCACCTGATGTCTTGATGCTTCCCTCTAGCCATACAAAGCCTACCCCAATTTTACATCTCCCAGTTGAATATGTCTTACTATGGAAATGATTCCCAATCTATTAAATTGCTTGAAAGGTTGGCAGTGCTGAGGATTTTTGTTGGGAATTGATCACATAGACATTCCCTGCCTCACATATACCCAAAATCCAGACTCCTAAAAAGAAAGCAGGTTCAGCATTAACCACACTATTTGTACAGTAGAGGCACATTGAGCCTGGTAAAAAAGGATTGCTTGCTGGGTGCAGTGGTGCTCACCTGTAATCCCAGCAGCTCGGGAGGCTGAGGCAGGAGGATTGGGAGTTTAAAGTCAGTCTCAGCAACTTAGCGAGGCCCTATGCAACTTAGTGATATTTAATATTTTAATGAAATATTAAAAAAGGACTGAGTATGTGTCTCAGTGGTTAAGCACCCTTGGGTTCAATCCCTGGTACAAAAATTAAAAAAAGTGCTGAGGATATAGCTCAGTTGGTGGAGTGCTTGCCTCACATGCACAAGGCCCTGGTTCAATCCCCAGCACCACAAAATAAATAAATAAATAAATAAATAAATAAATGAATAAATAAATAAATAAATAACAATAAAACAAAAGGGACTGCTTTTATCTGGTTTTACTTATAATGGTTAAAGTGTGGAATAATAAAAATAGCCTCATCATACTCATCATACCTCAAGCTTGTAACCTTGTTTTAAAAACTAGGGATATCAGTGAAAGAAAAATGTTCTCCTCTTAATATGTATTTTTTGTGTGTGTGTGGCAGGGGGACAGGTACTAGGGATTGAACCTGATCAGGGGCACTTGACCACTGAGCCACATCCCCAGCCCTATTTTTTTTTTTTTTTTTTTTTTAGAGACAGTGTCTCACTGAGTTGCTTAGTGCCTCACTTTTGCTGAGGCTAGCTTTGAATTCTCTTGCCTCAGCCTCCCAAGCTGCTGGAATTACAGGCACAAGCCACCATGCCAAGCTCCTTCATTTTTATAGTAGTAGATTGTCACTGATGTTTTCTTCAGTAATTTTAACACTGTCTTAGGAGAAGATCTTTCTTTGTCTATTACTTTTTCAGAAAATAGTTATTATCATTTTTCCCCCTTAAATTAGCACCAAAGAATGAATATGAGAAAAGCAGAGATGAATTGAAGAAAAAGAAAGCTCCTGGTCCAGGCAAGGTAAGTACTTTTCTTTGAAAGTTGAAATGAATGCTCTTATGACAGACCACATCTAGGAGTGTGAATCTTTGGAAACTGACAGAGTTCCCAACAGCCTTAGCCTCCTCTCCTAGAAATCTGAATTCTTTAATTTTTATATTTTTGAATTCTGTATTCTTGTCTCCATTCACTCTATTCCCTATAACTGCTCACATACATGCTACTTTTTTTATATTGTGAATTTTTCTTCATATCCTAATATGCTATACAGACATTTGAATAACATGCTGTTTTCATCTTTTTATTACACAAAAGATATAAATACACTCCATTTTGTATCTTAATTTTTTTTAATCTATCATGGAAATCATTCTTTATCAATATATCAAGAGCTTCTTAGTGCATGAATATACCCTATTTAGCTAGTACCCTTTAGATAGACACTTGAATTGTTTCTAGGCTTTCATTACACCAGTGCTATAGTGAATAATTTTATGAATACGTAATATTGAATGGATATGCTAAGTTCCAAGAAGTACAATTTCTGGGTTGTGTTGGCAGGCCCAAGACACCTCTCTGTAATTCACAAGAGGTCTCATAGGACTCAACATATGGTTGTATTTGCAGCTATGATTTCCTACAGTAAAAGGATACCAGGCACAGTTGGCAATATGAACAGGGTTGGGGTGGAATCTGGGGTAAACTAAGTATAAGATTTGAATGGTCCTTTTCAGTGAAGATACACAGGACATGCTTAATTTCCCAACCAATAAGTTGTAACAATTGTGAAATCTTGCTAACTAGAGAAGCTTGTTAGAGACTCGGTACTGTTTTTGGTGGGAATGGATCATATAGGCATTCCCTGATTGGCGTGTACCACAAATCCAGACTCCCAGAAAGAAAACAGATGTTCAGCATAAATCACATTGTTTGTACAGTAGAGGCACAATGAGCCACCTTTATCAGTTAAGGTAATAATAATAATCCTCCAGAAGCTGGGTGCAGTGGCACGCACCTATAATTCCAGCGGCTCCAGAGGCTGAGGCTGAAGGATCACAAGTTCAAAGCCAGCCTCAGCAACGGTGAGGCGCTAAGCAATTCAGTGAGACCCTGTCTTTAACTAAAATACAAAATGGGGCTTGGGATGTGGCTCAGTGGTTAAGTGCCCCTGAGCTCAATCACCAGTACCAAAAAATAATAATAATCTTCCAAAAACTCAAGTTCCAGACACCAGCCAAAGATCAATCCTATAAGCAAGCTTTCAGAGAATAGCAGTTATTCTTGCTCTGTTAATTTTTTTACACTTAGGTCAAAAGGCAAATGCCAGATTTCCCTCTCCAGAAGTTATTTTGTTAAGCACTTATATCTGCCTTGTGTTTACTGCCCCTTTTAAAAAGCATGACATCACTCTCACTAATGAAAGCTCAGCTTGTTGAGGCTTTATGAGGAAAAAAAAATCAAGACTCAGACAATGTTCCCCCAAATGGATTATTAATGTCCACATCATTAATGAAAACTGTGCTTAGTTTTTGTTTGCGAACAGGCAACTGTAAAGCCAGTAATTTCTTAGAGTTAAAATTCTTTTGAGTAAAATAGTCCATATTTTCTTTGCAGTTTCCCCCAACACTTTCTTCTAAATATCCCGAAGATGACCCAGACTACTGTGTGTGGGTTCCACCTGAAGGTATATTTAAAATTTTTTTTTCCTTTCCTCTTAGATTTCTTTATGTATTTGAATAAGTCATACATGTATAAGGTTCAAAATAATAGTTACAAGACTATGTAGTGAAGGTTTCCCTTCTGCAAGAATATGTAGATTAAAAGATCTGAGAAGACATATCAACTAAATATAATCTGTGCACCCTGTCCTTACTTTAAAACAGCAAATAGCTGTTTTAAAAATTATGAACCAGCTAGATAATTTTGAACACTAGCTGGATATTTGATAGTAAGATACTAAGAAATTATTGATTTTTTTTAAAAAGTGAATGATGTTGAGTTACGTTTTTTGAAAAAAGTCCTTATATTCTAGACAAATATACAAAAGCGTTTATAGATGGAATGACATCTGGGATTTACCTTAAAATAATCCAGATAAGCCAGGCACAGTGGTGCACACCTGTAATCCCAGTGGTTTAGGAGGGCTGAAGCAGGAGGATCGCTATTTCAGAGCTAGCCTCAGCAAAAGCAAGGTGCTAGGCAACTCAGTAAGACCCTGTCGCTAAATAAAATACAAAATAGGGCTGGGGATGTGACTCAGTGGTGGAGTGCCCCTGAGTTCAATCCCCATTWCCAAAAAAAAAAAAAATCGAGAGAAGGTACTGAAGTGGGGGGTAAGAGATAAAGCAGGATTGGCCACATATAATAATTATTAAAGCTGGATAAGGGGTAGATGGGGCTTATTATATTTTTCTATTTGCTTTTGCATATATTTCAAATTTTCTTTATCAACAGAAACAAAGTCTTCTGTCTATGCCTCAGCTATTCATTTTTTTCCTCTAAAAACAACAAAATATATTATCAGCTTCTTAATAATTCCTATATATTAAACAAAATGCCTATATAGACAATAAAACACATATTTCACCACTTTGCACAAGTGGAAGCATCTTCTACTCCTTGCTATTTTGTGCTTAGCACTATATAGAAAGCCTTCCATAAATACTTAAAAATTTATCATTTTCTTTTTACATTAGCATAATTTTTTTGTTTTTGGTTTTTTTAATGGTGTGGCTATACCTTTACTTATTTAAATACTGTGTTTCCAGTCTTTTGCCTTTATAAACAACTCTGCAAGAAGTAACTGCTAATATAATAAGTGAAGTATAGAGGTCCATTTATAGAAAAAACTAATATAAGTTAACATACTAGATCACAGTTATTTTTAAGATATTGTAAATTGTATTCTATAAAGACTACCAATTTTGTGTTCATACATGCACACCTAGGGCAATATATTAGATGCTTATTTCTTCATATGCTGATTATATGTTGTGTTTTTTATGGATGTTATTTTTGTTTACTTATTTATTTATTTTAGTTGTGAATGGACACAATACCTTTATTTTGTTTATTTATTTTTCTGTGGTACTGAGGATTGAACCCAGTGCCTCACACATGTGAAGCAAGTGGCGCTCTACTACTGAGTCATAACCCCAGCCCCTATGATACTAATAATAAGTTACTAATAATCAGAAGAAGTTTAGTTACTAGAAATGTTTGCTTCTTATGTACTAATAAATGTTAGGATAGACATGAAAAAAGGACTATATTCCAAAATTGTATACAAAAAGTAAAGTTTCTATCATGGAAGGAAACCTCAATATTTATTTTACTTAGGCCTACAAATATGTGAATATCTTTTTTCCTCTCGACTTTGAAAGAGTAAATATCTTTCCTTTTTATACTTTGATTTAGGCCAAAGTGGAGATGGCAGAACTCATCTTAATGACAAGTATGGCTATTGATTACATCAGAGTCCCAGAGGAAGATCTTGTGGACTATGTGACATTGAGTATTTGGAATAATATGTGAAGTTGAATGGCCAAAGAAGTTCAGATGATCTTATGTAAAATCTGGTGACTGACTTTTTCTTCCATGCTCTTGGCTTCTTGAATTTATCTTGTTATCCAGTTCTCCTGATTTGGGTATTTATGTTTAAAAGTATTTATGTTTGTATATATGTATGTGTGTGTGTGTGTGTGTGTGTGTGTGTGTATGAAGGGAACCATATATCTTGAGAAATAGTAAAGTGAGAAACAGGATGCTATTATAAAATGAAAAGTCAAAGTGCCCCTAATACTGATTTAAGATGATAGCCTGTTTGATTTAAGATTTAGGGACTGTGGGTTAGAGGTGTAACTTGTCTAACATGCTTGAGGCCTCGGGTTCCATCCCCAGAAACACAATTTTTAAAAAAAGATGGAGAATTGTGCTTTCCTGAGTATTAGGCTATGTCTGGCAGTTAGGGTGTAGAATTCACTAATATTGCTTCCTCAGATAATGTGAAATATGAATATTTCATGGATCTGACTCTGGATGTCCTTGTCATTCTTAGAACTAAATTTAGATTGACAGTGAAAGTTTCCTACTGCCTCCAACTCTAATCCTCCCTCTACATTTGAGAATAGACCCTGACTTATCAGGACAAAGTTAACCATAGCACCATCTCATATACTCAGGCCCCAGTCTGATAAAAACTCAGCCCATTGAATATCTTGGCTCTGACTAATCAATTAGTCATCCTCCTCTTACAGAAGGGTGCAAATATTGTTATGGAATGAAAAGTTGAATGTGTTCTGCCCGGTGTGTGTTTTCTCACCTCTATGTTTTCTCTTCCTCTTGGGAACAAAGAAATGTAAAAAGATGTCTTACTCTACCCCTTTTCCCCATGATTAATGCCTCACTTTACTTCCATAGATAGAAAGCGGGAAAGTGAAGGGATGCAGCAAGGTAGAGAGCATTTGGGTTAGGCTTAAGGCAGACATTGGGGAGAAATGCTCTGGCCCAGCCAGAGAGTGAATGAGACTGGTTGCTTTCTTATAATGGATTACGCAGTATATACAACAGTAGGCAGGAAGAAGTAATGAGCCATTCCAGTTACCATGGCAGATGGGGGAAGTTCTGGTCTACTAAAAGTAAGTCCTTCATCTTTCAAAAGAGAGTGTTGGTATGCTGAGAAACTTACTTTTGACTTCATTCAGACCAATAGGGAGAACTGATTGATGATGTAAGAAGTGTCAGGAATTTGGGGGCAGTGTTCGTGACATTTGGATTAAAACAATGGACAGAGGTCTGAGGCACATCAATGGTCTTTGCATATGAAAGTCTATTCAAACACAGTTGTATGTGTGAGCCTAATATTTGAATGGAGGAGAGGACGTGTGTAGTAGCTCCAATCCCTGCACCTTCACTTCACCCGGAGCAAAAGTGAGGCACTAAGCAACTCAGTGAGACACTGTCTCTAAAAAAAAAAATAGGGCTGGGGATGTGGCTCAGTGGTCAAGTGCCCCTGATCAGGTTCAATCCCTAGTACCTGTCCCCCTGCCACACACTCTCTCTAGCGTAGCTGGAGCTGGGTCACAGTAGGCTTTCCCTCACCCAGAAACTGGAGATTAATGTGTGCTATGCTTGTCTCTTAGGACATTTGAGAAGATCAAATAATGTACATGAAGACACTGAATACCATAATTTGCTATAAGGTGTGTCTCTTGTATTTGCCCTCCCCCTCTCCTCCAGTGATCCTAAGGAATCCCAGGAGCTATAGGAGGATAGACAGCTTTAGGAGGACAGATTTCTAAGGTTCTGGGAACAGTAGGTATGCTTTCGTGTCTACAGAAATCCCAAGTGGGATTCCACATGCCAAAATAAAATCTAAATATGTAATTTGTGGGCAATGGATTTGATTTAAATGACCTACACGTGTTTCTTAGCCACCTTTTACTAAATAGGAGACTGGGAATAGGACTAAATTCTCTGAGTCTCAATTTGTTATCTCAAGCAAGGCTAGCAAAGCTTCCTGCTCCTAGAACCTCAGATGTACTTAAGGATTGGATGAGATGATGGAGGTGGATTTAGTACCGGACTTTATAGATGTTAGTAGTTGTTATTTTAAAAAGGGGACACAAGCCAGGCATGATAACGCACACCTGTGTAATCTCAGCAACTCAGGAGAAATTTAAGTTTTTAGTTATAGTACTTGGATCTTAACTGCAGACCAATTGAAGCAGAATCCCTGAGGTGACCCCTTCTACAAGGGGTCTCTGATGTACAACCCAGAGTGACAAACCTCGAGAGTACTTTTTTCCTACAGCCAATTTTTTTCTATAAGGGCCAGGTGTTTTAGGCTTTGTAAGCTGTATGATTTGTTGCATGCAACTACTCAGCCCTGCTTTTGTAGTACACTTGTAAATAGCATTAACAATATATGAGTAAGTGTGACTTCTTTCTAATGTGTTTATTTATAAAAACAAATAGCAGGCTGGTTGGCAGACCCCTGGTCTAGACTGATTCATCTTCAAGGTCTTATTTGGTTCAAAATGTTCTCTTATATCTTTTTTTAAAAAGCATGTCCCAGTTCATGCATATTTGGAAGATTTGTATTCAGAATACCAATTATCTCCTCCTGAACATATGGGTTGCAGTTTATGGTTACCAGAAGTTAAAGTAAACCAGTCTCTCTGCCACGAGACCAGCCCGAGCTTCATGAAAGAAGGTTCGGTTCATAAGAAATTGCTAATGAGTTTTAAATTAAAGAGACTCTAATTACCTTTAACACAGATCCAAGATGGCTTCTCCTAGCTCCCACCTCCAGCCACCTAATGCGGTGGTGAGGTTTACAGAAGAGACTAGTTAGAGAGGGAGAACATGCCAGGGAGTGAGATTTTATTGGAGAACAAAAAATTCCAGGGAAAATCCCATCCAATGAAGGTTAAGGGGGGCAGCATCCCAAGGTCAGGGGCGGAGATTGGGTCTTCAGGTCAGTGGCCAGGCACGTCTCTGCACAGACAAGCCCTCGGACTTGAGAAAGGGTGGGGAAGGCTTTTAACACTGCTGTGTTTAAGCGCCTCTCACCCAGCCAGGGAGGTAACTCAAATCACGTGCAAAGATCGCCTCCCACAAGTCTCCTTTTCTCAGAAATAAAAGTAAGGTTATTTAGTCATTAGAAAAAAATACTTGGTCGCAGCAGGAACACAATAGTTAACTGCAAGCAGGGTGTCCCTAGTCAGCTGTCCTGGACAGGAATTCTGAACCTTGAATTCTCCATATTCAACCTATAGTGTGGAGAAAGAGTGAAAAAAGGTGAGAAGACTCGGGGACCAGTTAGGAGCCAGTGGCAGCAGTCCAGCTGAGAGATTATGATGGCTTGAATTCAGTGGAGATCTAGAAGGAAAGAGACACATGGATCTTAGCAATATTTTTAAAAGTAGAATGGCTGAAGTTGAGTGGTGGGGTTGTGTAGGGTGAACGAAAGGAATCCAGGAAGATTCCTAGGCTGCTAATTTCCACATCTGAGTGGATGATGGGTCATTCATTGAGGTAGGGGAAGTAAGAAAGAAGGACTGGTGTAAAAGTGGAGGGGTCATGAATTCAACACTTTGAGGCACCTAAATAAAATGTCCACCAGGCAGTTGAATACATAGGTCTGGATCTCAGAAGAGAGGGCCGAGGAACAGTTATGGCTGTCCAACAAATGAACCTCAGCATTGGGATGGGGAGATCCAGTAGGATTCATTAGAATCTAGGTGACCGACAGGAATTATGCAGAGAAACCACTGTCTTGGTCAGCTGATCTTCCTATCTTGGTGCAGGGAACAAAATTTTTTTCCTGGTTATAGGTACTCATTTGTTGTAAGAAAAAGATAAAGTGTGGTACCATAGTGAACAATGGAGAAAAAATATCAGTGTATGTATTTAACATCAGAATAAGTCTCTTGATTCACATAGGAATTAGGGGCCTAAAACTTACCTAAAAGGTCAAAACTTTTCTTAACTGTTTTTTATTTAAAATTTCCAAAAATAGCTAAGATTTATTTAATGTCCCCAGTGTGTCAACACTATGCTAACTGCCTATATGATTCATTTAATCTTAGATCACTGAAGTAGTTCTATAGTTGAGGAAACTGAGGCCCTGAGAGTTAAGACTTGTCTAAGGCCACTCAGTAGTCTGTGAATTAGACTGAAGCCCAAACAGTCTAATATCTAAGTCCGGCTCTTAACCCTCCAGTACATTGCTTTAACATTTTTAATATACTGTGTTTTAATTTTTTTATTTTTTTAAATATTTATTTCTTAGTTTTAGGTGGACACAGTGCCTTTATTTTATTTTAATGTGGTGCTGAGAATTGAACTCAGTGCTTCACACATGCTAGGCAAGCGTGCTATCACTTGAGCCACATCCCCAGCCCAATATACTGTATTTTTTACAGCAGTTTTAGATTCATAGCAAAGGTGAACAGAAAGTACAGACTGTTTCCATCCACGCCCTGTGCCCCACACATATAGTTATCCCAGTCCCTACCAGAGCCTGCATTTGTCACACTCAAACCTACACTGATATGTTATCACCTAAATTCCATAGTTTACTTTAGGGTTCTCTCTTGGTGATGCACATTCTGTGAATTTTGATAAATGTAAATGACATATACTCACCATTACAGTATCAAACAAAATAGTTTCACTGCCCTAAAAGTCCTGCATGCTCCACCTGTTCATCTTTCCCTCCCCACCAATCCCTGGCAACCACTGATCTTTTTACTGTCTCCATAGTTTTGCCTTTTCTAAACTGTCATATTTGAGTATTACCTTAATTTTTAAAAATTCCCTGAATAATTAAACAGGCCTCACAGAACATTCTTTAACCTTTTACTAAGAATATTTTCTTTTCTGAAATAATATTTAGTGAAGAGGTGCTTGCTTCAGCACCATATATACTAAAATTGAAATGACATAGAGATTAGTATGGCCCCTGCACAAGGATGACATGCGAATTTGTGAAGCATTCAGTTTTTTTGTGATTGAGTTCTACGCAGGGCCAAGTTCAAGTTCCCTGGCTGCCAGAAGATACACATCTCAATGAAATGGAATTTTACCAAGTTTAGCTGATGAATTTGAAGATATGATGGCTGAGAAGTGGCTCATTCCTGATGACTATAGGATCAAATATATCCCCAGATGTGGTCCCCTGGACAAGTGGTGAGCTCTGCATTCATGATGGCTTCCACTGTGTTATCCCTTTCTTAATCACACCAATAAATAATTGTTGTAACCAAGAAAAAAAAAAAGAGAAGAAAGTATTAAAAGAAGCATAGTCATTTTAAGGATATTTAGAGAAAAGAGAAGAAATGAAGCATGTGTAAAGAAAATTCAAGATATAAAAACCGTAGCATCACTGGGCACAGTGGCACATGTCTGTAATCCTAATGACTCTAAAGACTGAAACAAGAGGATTGCAAGTTCAAGGTCAATCTCAGCAATTTATGAGGCCCTAACCAACTTAGTGAGACTCTGACTCAAAAGGTGCTAAGGGTTATGGTTCAGTGATTGTACGTACCCCTGAGTTCAATCCTCAGTCCCCCCCACCATATGCACACACACAAAAAACTTAGCATTGCCATGACATGAATACTGGTAAGGTCCATTTATTTCAGTGGAAAATTGGGATTTCATCTTGGGAATGGATCACTTCAAGTCCCATCTTCATATCATAAGCACAGACTTTGTCATTTGTATTGTAAAGTAACCCCTTTCCTAATTTAGAAACCTGTTCTTTGTGGCTTCACTGCTTAGTAGCCTCTTGACGGAGCACAGCGTGAGAATAGGCTGGGATGATGGGAGGGATCTTGAGGATCACTCATCATACCACCTTGGTCTGCAGAGGAAGAGACCTGGGCTCTGAGAAGCTGCGGCTCACTCACAACTGCAGTCCCCATCTACTCTCTCTAGCGTAGCTGGAGCTGGGTCACAGTAGGCTTTCCCTCACCCAGAAACTGGAGATTAATGTGTGCTATGCTTGTCTCTTAGGACATTTGAGAAGATCAAATAATGTACATGAAGACACTGAATACCATAATTTGCTATAAGGTGTGTCTCTTGTATTTGCCCTCCCCCTCTTTCTTTTATGCCTTTCTCTGGGGGTTAGGAGTGATTTTCCCAGTGCCTTCCTCAGTCCTCCCCTCCAGGTATGCATAGGGTTACTGTGGGCATTTGAGGTCTCTTTTGTAATTGGCTCCTGATCAGAGTACATTTTCAAAGTATTTTTTAGAGAGAGAAGATCTTATGTGACATTCTTTTAGGGCTATGTTCAAATATATATTCCCTTAAAAGGATCACTGCTATGAGGTTTTTGTTGATTCGTTGTGTCTAAATTTTGTTTTCTTGGACACAGCACTCCTCACCAAGTGGAGTGGCTTTGGGTGGCTTCAGGGCAGTAGTATCCAATAACAAAAACATTAAGAAACTAGTGAAGTAGAAAGGCATTACCAAAACTTTGGGAAGGGAAAAGCAGAGTAAAGAGATTAGCTATAAGACTCTTGCTAGAATTAAAACACCTCGAGAACAGGGACTCTTGGTAGGTTTTTGCATAGTGTCTGGCACATTCAATTAATATTTCTTGAATGCTTGCTGTGAATATTTTCCCTGGAATTGTCCCAATTGTTTAGGAAATATGAAGCCTAGCTATCTCCTTGAAGTCCACACCCTTACCCATTACTACTTCACTGGAACTGGAATGAGTTAGCCATTTTTAGAAATATGACACAATTCCCAACTGACTTTGAAGCTGTTAGCCACAGTCTAAGGATCTGTTGCTACTATTGAAATGCTGCCACCTCCCGGATAGGGTGTGACAAGTGGCCAGCAGCTGTGGACGGATTCTTGAGAGAGGGAACCAGAGGGACGCCTGCCAGCCCTGTGGCAATAAAAAACAGGAATCAGTCTTGGGTAGGGGGAGGGCTGAGTTCCCATACAGTATTTAGTCCAACCAAATGCTGGACTGCTGGGAAATGACACAAAACTCTGACTTTTGGTGTTAGGAAGATGGGTCATAGCATCAAACTGGTATGGTCCCTTGTGACTGGCTATTCAAGTCCTGAGAATCCTCACTTGATGTGGGCATTGAGAAGAATTTTCAAGACAACTTCTGGTGCCTGAGCAGACTTTGCTCTGCTTTGGGTTTAGGTGTTTGGTACACCATATTTCAGGGTGGAACTGAGACAAATTCCATAGGAGACCAGAAATTTTTCTCCCCACTATGATCTGGCATTGATGATGATGCAGGTCAGAGGACTCAGCACATGATGGGACAGTGATTCTCACTAAAGGTAGCTCTGCCTTCATCTCTCAAGTCTATTTTAATTTCTCTATGTAGAGGTTTTACATTTCTTCCTTTGCCTTGCCCACTCTTCTAATCTGAGCTCCCCTCACCTCTTAGAGGTCTTCCTTCTTGGTCTCTACCTAATTAGCTCTCCTCCACATAATCTTAAATACAACCATGAGTATAATGCCACATTTTGAAATCTCTAAAGGTTTTCTAGTATCCAGAGGGTGAGATCTAATTCCCTTGTGGCTTTAAATTCCCTTACAGAGTTCCTGTAGTTTTCATCATCATGACCCTACAATGCCCTTATCCTCCCTCCCTTTATACCACCTGATACTCTAGCAATTACAGATTGTTTGCCCTAGACACACCCTTTGCTTTTTCTTCTGCCTATATTTTCTATCAAGGCTTTGCCCTACCAGCCTTGAACCACAGTTTCTTTGTCTATTAAGTAGAGAATATAGTACCCACCCAATAGTATTGTGGAGATTAAATAACTGAAATATTTGTAAAAACTTTAGCCATTCCCAAATGAAGCTGATATTAGTGTCATTATGGTCTTCTGTGCTTGTGTTTGTTAGGTAAGACCACATATTTTTTTATTGTTGTTCTGTTTTGTTTTTTGGTACTGGTCCACATCCCCAGCCCCATTTTTTATTTTATTTAGAGACAGTCTCATTTGAGTTGCTTAGTGCCTTGCTAAGTTGCTGAGGCTGGCTTTGAACTTGAGATCCTCCTGTCTCAGCCTCCCAAGCCACTGGGATTACAGGCATGCACCACTGCACCCAGCTAAGGTCCTGTTTTTTTAAAATAGACTTTATGTAAATACTGTGCTGTGTTATATAGGGACTTAAGTATCTGCAGATCTAGGTATCTGCAGAGGGTCCTGGCTCCAAAACCCCATGGATATTGAGATGACTATACTTGAGATTTATTTATTAGCAGAAAATTGCTAATATTTAGCATCTTTTTCAAAAACTGGAATTAAGCTAGGCATGGTGGCACACACTTTAAATCCCAGTGACTAGGGAGACATCACAAGTTTGCAGATAGCCTCAGCAATTTACCAAGGCCATGAACAATTTAATAACACTCCGTCTCAAAAAAATAAAAAAAAAGGCTGCAGATATGACTCAGTGGAAAAGCACCTTTGGGTTCTATCCTTAGCACCTTCACCCCCAAAAAACAAATGGAATTAATACATTGATTCTTAAATCTCTTTTCCAGTGATTTTGGAATACTTTGAGAGTAGAGTTTTAGGTTTACAGCAAAATGGAGTGGAAGGTTGAGAGATTTTTCCATGTATCCCTGCCTTCACACATGCTTAGCCCCCCATTATCAACAACCCTCACCAGAGTGATACATTTGTTATAATTGGTGCACTTACACTGACACTTGGGGTGATGACTTGGGGCAAGGAACTATTACTTCCCATCAAGTAGTTCTGGATTTCAGCATCTAGCTTTCACTTGGGTTTTAAGTCCTCTGCTCGCCCTGGGAAATCCTGATCTTTGGCTCGGGTCTTCTCAGGTCTGCCATTGTCATATACACCCCTTCAGAAGACTATGCAACCATGGCAGGGAGTGACCATACGAGGGCAGTAAAGACCTGTTACTGTGCAACGAACTTGCACATGTGGCTGAAAGATGATAAATAAATGTTTGAAAACGGAACAAAGAGTAAAATAAAATCAGAAACACAGGATTCCGAAGGAGTCAAGGGCAGCAAGCGATTCAGCTCAACAGTGTCTCCCTGGGCCCAAGACCTGAAGTAGCAAGGTAGCCAGGGACATTGTTGAGGTCTAAAGGCTGCTTTCCAAATCTCTTCCCAACCTGTGTTACTGTGCTTAGTTACCCCTTAAGAAAGTCATTCTCCAGTTATGATTCAAATATTTTGTGGAGGAATTAGGATATCACCTATTTATTCCTTATGTCCTGTATTGCAGCTTTATAGTTTACAGAGCATTTTTAAACACATTTTTTAATCTGAATCTCTTTTTATCAGTTTTGAATGGCAGAAAGAGGAGATATTATCACTGAAGGAAAAGGGGATTGGAAACATGAATTGACTTGATCAGAGGCATACTGAGTTTGTGGTAGAACCATGTCTAGATGAGTTTCTTTAACTCCAGAGCATCTGCTTATTCCTTCTAGATTTCAGTTGTCCATGTTTGGAAGTTGAGGTTTGCTTGTTTTATGGTGCTATTGCTCTACCACTAAGCTACACTTCTAGCCCTGTAAGCTGAGTTGTTAAGAGCAAGGACTTGTTCCCTGACTGGTACCCCTTAATCTTTAGGGCTAGGACTGAGTGTGTTACATAAGGTCTGTCCCTTAGGATTCTGATCCTATAATTTATCTCTTGTCCTCCTTAATTCAATGATTCTTTGACTTTAAGGCACAGCTCTGACAAAGATAGCCTTGGCCTTTAGTGATACTACCAGCTGAGCATTTCAACAAGGGCACCCATTTGGCTGGCAGCCTTTCAAGGTTCATCCTTAATGATGCAGGGATGGTGATGGAATAGAACATATTAAATATATATCAAAACACACACGATTGCGAAGAATGAGGTCAACTTTTAAAGTGAGTCTATTTAAGGAAAACATTAAGTAAATAATAGTATGGTGATATGCAAAAGAAGAAAGCATGAACTTGCCAATGACAAATTCAAGGAATTGTGATGAAGTAGGAAGATAT